TGCAGCCAGGTCAGAAAGGAAAAAGAAATTGAAAATAAAAGGAAATACCGCTAAGAATTCACCGACTACAAAGAACTCCGGCTGGTGGTTGCTTCTCCAAATCCCCCGAAATATCTGACCCGTAACATCCCTAACCATGTGTTTTCATAAGAAAACACCTGGTTAGGGTTGTTAGGGTCTGAAATCATGGAGATTTTGCCTTAGGGCTTTGGTCGGAAACCTTCGATTTAATATTCGAGCTGCTCCGGGCAGATTCGAGAGACAAGGCCATGGGGGTTGGGTAGAGTAGGTCCAGGCGGTCACAGGGTGTAAATTTGGGGTTATTTGGCATAGGTGACGAACTAGTCGGAAAACTTCAAACGGACATTCGAGGGATTCGGCCGTGATTCGAAAGAAACCAGAGGTAGGGTTGGAAAGAGGATGAGCGGGGGAAGCTGGGGTGTATTTTTGGTGGCTTTTGGCGTTGGTTGCGTTTGCCGCCGGCGAGGATTCCGGCGAGGCTTAGGGCTCGTTGTTGGTCTCTCAGAGACGTGGGGTGAGAGACGATTGAGGGGGTGGGGTAGTATTCGGACATATATGTATTAAAGAGTGGGGGCTTCTGGACCGTTCGATCTAACAACCTCGACGACTGAGATCTGGTGCACTGAGAAACGACGTCGTTTGGCTCCTCTTGGGACCGGACCGGGTTGGGCATAGCTAGGCCTGGGTGGATTGTTTTGAGATTGAGCTGGGATATTAATTGGCCCAAATCATGGGCAGCCCTTCTCTTTAATGCTTTCCTTTCTTTTCCCTTGTTTCTTGTATTTAATTTTTGTATTTCAATTTGTATATTTTTTAATTTTATAAAATTATAAAAATAAAGTCCTAATATATTTCAAAATTAAACTAATTAATTCCTAAAATTATTTTAAAAACTATTCCGGGACGAATTCGCAATTAAATAATTAAAAATGCAAAAGTAGGCTATTTTTGTTATTTTCCATATGTTCTATTATAAAGCAAATTAATCCCTGATTAATACTTAACATATGAAATTAGATCCTAAATGAAAAATGCATATTTTGTATTTTATATGAATTGATCATGCACAAATAAAATGCACAAATAAAATATCCTAAAATTCGCAAAATTGCCAAATAATGAAAGAAATTATTTCGTTTGAGTTTTTTGGGAATAATTCATATATAGGGCAAAAATCATGTGCTCATAGTGATGTTGTGTCGCACGATGTACAATTCCGTGCCAATTATATTGATTATATGGTGAGGACGAGAGTAAAAGCACGAAGGGTGATGCCGTGCACATTTTCTTTACTTGATTGTTTTGGTGAGGACGAGAGTAAAAGCACGAAGGGTGATGTCGTGCACTTATTGATTTCTTATTCTTTGTTGATATCTGAGATATGTTATTTCTTCCAATTACCTGTTGTCTTTCTATTCTAAATTGATAGTTCCTCCGCATCATGTTACCCCTCCCATACTTGACTGTATACTATTGTTCTTCGTTTCCGTTGTATATAGTTGAATTGCATAGATTTATTTGGTAGTCTGGTCCTAGCCTCGTCACTACTTCACCGAGGTTAGGCTAGGCACTTACCAGCACATGGGGTCGGTTGTGCTGATACTACACTCTGCACTGTGTGCAGATCCCGGAGCAACAGCTTTTGGACCGTAGAGGTGGCTGTCTTCAGTCCACACGGAGATCCAAGGAAGTCTTGCAGGTGTCCCCAGACCCTAGCGTCTCCCTCTATCCCTTTACTCCTGTTTCATTTACTTAGTTCAGAAACAGTGTATAATTTATCTTTCAGACTTTGTATGTAGTAGTCTTAGATCATCTGTGAAACCGTGACACCAGTTCTGGGTATCGAGGCTCAAACAATTGTACTAGATACATATTTCAGATAGTTTACTGCATTTCTTCCGCTTATTGTAATTTCCGTTGTTCACACGTTATTGCTTTATAATTGTTAAAGAATATAAAATTTGTAAACAGGTAATTTGTTCCAACAGTCGGCTTGCCTAGCTCGCATTAGTAGGCGCCATCATGACTCCCGAGGGTGAAAAATCCGGGTCGTGACAGAATATGATAACTTTTAGTATAATTCCTAGTCTCCCAAACTTGAGGAACCCCTAATCTGAGTCTTTGTAAATATAAAAGTTAAATCCATTGTTTATCCATTTTTAAATGGATAATATTGATCTTATCTATATTTGACCCATTTTTAAAAAATTCATTATTCAACCTATTTTTTAGTAAATAATGTAGATGAATAAATATTTTTTTTATCTATTTTACCGCCACTAGTATGGTATAGCTTGTTGCTTTGACCGTCTTTAAAAGTCCTATCTTCAAAGTACGCATGGTGGACCAGTTTGTCCAACGTAAACAATAAAAACAAATTCAATGAAATTCTATAAGTAGAGTCGGGAAAGAGTAGTGTGCAGTGACGAATCCAGGAATATCTTCAAGGGTATTCAAATTTGAACGAAGTGAAAAAATAGTCGACAAAGAATGTTCAATATATGTTATATACCTCTAAAATTTAATATTTTACTTATATATACCGTGTAATTTTTCGACGAAAGGTGGTCAATTGACCACCCTCAAGTGAATGTAGCTTCGTCCTTGGTAGTGTGTACACAATCTTATCCTTACCTACAAATAGAGAAGTTGTTTCCGATATACCCAGCTCAATCCAGCATTAAAGCATCCTGCGTAAGGAATATGGCAAAAATATTTACCACTACAACTTTTACGAAACAGTATCCAACAGCTAAGCCTTGATTAAAACTGAAATAATTCATTAGAAAAGAGTGAATAAATTTTCCGAACAGCTAAGTTAGCTTTCTTCAAATGGTCGAAAGTTTACATAGAGTAAGTATTGGTCAAATAAAAAAAAGAATTGAAAGGAAGGAGTAAGTAAAACTAGGAGAAACTGCCAAGAAAATAGCAAATTAAACTAAACGGTTCACACCAATAAAAATAACGGAGGTTCTCATATTTTTTGGAAAAATATTTCGTTGGCAAGCTAGACTTTGATCGTTGTTTTGGAAATTAACTTGTTTTACAGTTTTTGATAATCAATTGAATTTATGTTTTGATTATACCAGATTGTACATTTGAAAAATAAAATAAAAATAATTGTAGTGATTTACTAAGTTAACATGCATTGTACTAACTAGGGGTGTTCAAATTAACCGAACCGAAAAATCGCACCAACCCAAAAAATCAAACCAAACCGATTAAAAAACCCGACTAAATTTGGTTTGACTTAGTTTGGTATTGAGTAAAAAAAATCGAGCCAGACCGACATATAAATATATAAATTTTATTTATATTTTTAAGACTTTATAGTGATTTTTCTTTAGAAAATATAGAAATATTTGGGATCCTCTCATGTATTAACCTTGAAAGCGTAAATTAACGAAAAATTATTGTTAGACGACTAAGAAAATAACTGTCATTTGTTACTAAAAAAATTCTCCCATTAGAATATTTTAATAGATCATATGTTTGTCAATTTTTTCCATATTTACTAAACAAATATTCACTTATCAAAGCTTTATCTATAATTTTAATAAAGTAAGATTGAAATAATATACATGTAACAAAAAAATTCGAAAACCCGAAAAGCCCGACAAAACCGAACCAATCCAAACCGATATAATTGGTTTGGTTTGATTTTGATAAAAACCGAACCAACTCGATCCATGTACACCCCTAGTACTAACGATACATTAAAAAGTAGAATTATTCAAAAGTGAGTAACAAATAAAATAATTCTAAATCTGAAAGAAATGCGGTAATAAGGTGAAAGTATGGTCGAATGGCGGATTTTTTTTAGAAATAGTGTGATTTACAACTTGTAATTGAAAAATAGTCACATTTTTAAAAGTAGTTGACATTTAGTCACTTTTTCATGTACATATAAAATTGAATAAAAATACCCTTAAAAATTCAGAAAAATTCCAGCATTTTGAACTTTTTACATATGAGATTCCAGCATAATGTGTTGGAGTTCCAACATAATATGCTGGAATTTCATAATGTGTTGGAGTTCCAACATAATATGCTAGAAGTTTATACGCATGAGCTCCATATAATCTAGCATATTATGCTGAAACTTTCTCTATTTCAGCTAGAGTATTTTTCTTCAAATTTTATCTCCATATAAAATAATGGTTATTTTTCAATAACTTTATAAATGTCGACTATTTTCAGTTCCCACTTACCAATCCAAAAAATAGCTAACCCATGCTATTTTCACTAAAATGGCCGAGAAAGTAGGAGAAGATCCAAACAGCTAAGAACTAGCCACTATTTTTTTGCAAGAGAGATCGGTCCAGCATAATATACTGGAGTTCGGTGCACCTGTATATGAACTTCCAGCATATTATGCTGGACCGGTAATATACTGGAGACTGGAGCACCGGTGCTCCAAACTCCAGTATATTATGCTAGACCGATATATTATACTAGAACTCCAGTATATTAGACTGGAGTTCCAGTATAATATACTGGAATTCCAGTATATTATGCTGGAAGTACTTTTCCGAATTTTGAAAAGTGTTTTCGTTCAGATCTATCTTTACATGAAAAATGGCTAAATTTCGATTACTTTTGAAACTGTGGCTATTTTGGAATGACCACTTATAAAATCTAGCTATTTTTGAATTTTTCCCATATGATCTATATATAATATGTGTATAATCATGTATAAAGTGTATAATATATTTAGACCGGCTATAAAAAGAAACATTAAATTTGTATAACAATCCCGAAATGAACGATGAAACGGGCTGGATATTTGTGTAAAGATTCCGATTGGTTCTCATTGTTAGTACGCTCATAGGGCAATGGCAATGACCCGCCATACAAATTATATTCCTTTCTTATATTAAGAGGAAAAGCTAAAATCTTGCTAAAGTATGGTAATATATAGCCAGCAGAATTTCCTGATGTTGACTGATTCTCACTCATTCATGTTCATACAAGATTGATGATTCCAAGATTTGCCTGTTACTCTTAAATTTAGCTACATAGTATATATCATAAACTGCAGTAAATTAACAGCTTTATTTATGCATAGCCCTTCCCCACAGACCCCGCGCATAGCGCGAGGCATTTATTTATGTATAGGCTGCCAAACAGATAGTGCATACATGATTCTTCCTTTCCAACCTTGCAACATCCAGTTACTATCTTCATCCACTAGAAAATCCCTGTGATAAAACATTCTCACCTTGGCCTTGACTTCCTTGACAATGTCTTGATTCAACGGAAGTTGCCTGAACCCCGCTATCTGATTCCTCACTGACCATTGCTTGTAACTCTCCGGCCTCTCAACTCTCTCCGTCCCTTCACAGGCTATAACGTTCATTATATCTCTTCCGAATACTTCCTGCTCGAATATCATCCTACCTTCATCTTCTCGTGTCATTGTAGCTTCGAACATGTCAAACTGAGACGAGAAATGAAATAAAGCCTCTCGAAATCTTGTAGTGAAGAAAGATGCATTGTACATAGCGTTCACGATCCCATGAACGAACCAATGTGGATTTATTTCCTTGATCAATCTCAGAACAGCATTTCTCGGGTTGTTGTTGCCATTAGTTAGTACTGTTTCATCGGGTACATTCTTTAGCCTGTACAAACAATTGACAACCACAGTTTCATCTTGCTCAATATTCAGATGTTCTAGTTTAATATCATCCCATTTCTTTGCTATTGCTTTATATTCAAATGGAACACCGAATCTCTTGCAATAATTCTCCAATCGACGTCCTGTCTCCTCGACTCTTTCAGCTGGTCGAAAACCTGGTTGAGGGAAATCAATTCCTGTGATCTTAAGCTTTGGTGGTCCACCTGGCCTAAGGGAGATTCCATGTATTATACAAGGCCATTGAAATCCATATAGTATCCCGAAATCTATTATGTGAACCTTTGGAGCTTCACTTGTTAATTTCGCGATAGACTTGTTAGCAAATATGTTTGACATTCTCTTGAATGGACAAGCTGTGATGTATACCTGATATGCTTTTAAGAAATCTGCAGCTGATAATATTGATTTTTTTGGAGTAGTAATTGTGTCTACACCACCACCACCAGCAAACCGAGCTTCGAGGGCATTGGCAAAACAATAGGCCAATCTAGCAGTAGGATCACCAAAGGGAGACGAGTGTTGCCTGATTTTGCTAAGAACCTCTACAAAAGTTTTGCTGTTATAGCTAGCTGCTGCTTCCGCGCATCGTGTTAGGAGACTGGTAAGGTCTACTACTTCATTAGTCTTTACACCCTTTTTGGTTCCACGCGGCCTTCCTCTTTTAGACTGCTTTATATGACGGCTTTTTTGCTTGTCCCATGCTGCATTTTCTGATGATGATCTTGATCCGTCATCACACGAATCCTCGACGTAAAAGGCAGGATTCATATCTGGACAAAGAACTGCCTTATCGTAGTACTCCTCATGAGTTTTCTCTTCTGTTTCCTCTGCACCATTACTCGCAAACTGCTTGCTGTTAGGACCATTTGATGATTCGCCACAGTCCTCTCGATTGTGCTTCTTTTTCCCCTCTGACTTTGATGTTCCCCCTTGATTGTTCGTATTTGTGGAGTTTACACCATAATAAATATTCCTATGATCATCATTAGCAGCAGCAACAACTTGACAATTATTGTTCAAAGGAGTGTTTCCACGTATTCCAGTATTTGAACAATCGAAATCAGAAATCAAGTCGGACTGATCAAGAAAGTGATTGAAGTTGTCGTCTTGCAGACAATGAGTAGTACTAATAAAACCATGATTAACTGGAAAATCAGTACTAGAACAGTGCTCGACGATTGTTGGATCGTCGTCGTTGTTGTTGTTGTCAGTGAGGGCATCATAAAAAGATTTCTCAGCAGCCTGAAGAGCAATACAATCTTGAAACATGCAAGGTCTACTTTCTAAATCATCTTCTTCTTCTAGAAGCATCTGTTGTATATACTTAAACACTCCATCAAAGTAGTCGCTTTCGACTACTGTTTGATCACAACCACCACCACCACCACCCTCAACAACAACCTCGTCATTATTAGATGATGTTCCGTTACTCGATGAAAAGAACACAACATCATGAATATCAGTACTGCTAAATTCATTGCCAAGATTAGTACTGGCCATAGCGAAACGATGACAACATTCAAGTCCATCTGTTGATCTATGATCAACTGATGGAAAATAGGTATTAGTATTCATTATAGAAAAGACCCTTTTTTATGAGCTAATATGGGAGAATGAATTAGATCGATCGAGAGCGAAGATAGATATAAACATGAAATGGACGAAAACGTACAAAGTTGGAGTTAGACATGGGAAATGGTAGAGAGATCTAGATCAGAATGAAGAAAAACTACAACTTAAGCTATTGTCTATATGTACACAAGCTAGCTGGGGAGTACCTTAGAAAACTGAGAAATTTTGGAAACACAGAAAATTAACAGGAGTGGAAATGAGAAGGAAATGACAGAAAGTGATAGAGAAACCGACTATAGTAAAATACTATTTATAGAATAATAGAAGAGATGGGATAATGATATATATATAGTTTTGGTGATATACATAATATTTGAGGGGACAAAAAGGGCTGGGAAGTAGGGTCGGTGGGCAAAATATTGTAAATCTCGAGGTCAATAATTTTTGGCACTCGATCTGGTTCCTCAACATGTGACACTGTCACTATTTTGAAAACAGCTAATGTTATCTAAATCCGAATGCAAACATTCTACAATGCTGCACCATTTGTCGGCTGTAACATGCAACTAATTAACTTTCAGCTAGGGATGGCAATGGGGCAGTGCTGGTGTGAGGCGGGACGGGTTAAAATGTGCGGGTTAAGATCAGTGGCGAAGTCATATGGTTACAAGGGTGATCATTTACATTATATACATAGATAAAATATTGCTATATTTTAGAAGTATATAATACATATTGAATATCTTTGTCGGAATTTTTTTTCACGTTTTTAAAATTTGACACCCTAGGAAAAATTTCTAGTTTCGCCGCTGATTAAAATAACACCCGCCGCCTGCCATTCCTACTTTCAGCTGGCAGTCAAGATCAAGGTGTCAAACGGTCGTATTTGGTTGATGTTGGGCGGGTCTAAATATAGTGATTCAATAAAGGGCGGAGTCATTATTCCGTTCAAATGTTACTTGAGCTGAGATGAAATGTTAAATAATAGGTCAAACTCCAATCCCTTCAACTCTAACATATCAAACAAGTTTTCTTATGAGTTAATTTGGAAGAGTATTCGATTGAACCCTCGCGAAATATGCAGTTCAGTCCGTTGTCGCCATTTTCTTTAATTTTTGGAGGTAGAGGGGTCAGATTGTTTAACAAAAAGATATGAGAAACCCAAAGTAAATAGCAACCAAAAGCAAATGACTAAAGGGGTTAAAGTTGATTAGACTTTACTACATGATATAGGAACAGTAAAAAGACCCAAGAATCAAATTATTAGTAAATGATATTTTCGGAATAGAAAAGTAAAATAAAAAGTTTAGTAAAGTATAACACAAGTTTACGCACTTTTGTGACTCTATAATGTTATAAACCCCACAAATAAATTTGTGAGCTTTGTTGGAGCAAAGCACATAATACGTCCCATTTGCTTGGGCAACCATATGACTAGAGTAGGCGTTCAGACATTTCGAATTGGATATGAGATTTTCGATTTTCGAATTGAAAAAATGATAATCCAAATTCAATTCAAATAAGTTAGGATTGAATCAGATTTTTTAAGTTTTATTTCGGATTAATCGGTTTGGATATTATGAATTTTCTGTTTTGAGCGTATAAATTAAGATGTTTCTACTTTTTATGAAGATCCAAATGAAGTACTCATGTTAAATTGCCTGAAAAGTTCCTCATTCTTGCCGCAATCATACAGTATTCAAGTAATGAAATTATTATTTAAAAAAAAATACAAACATAAACATTAATACGATCGATATGAAATAGAAGTAAAATCATCTCTGAATAGAAAGTATTCTAACAGTAACTTAGTAATTAATATTGAATATATGAGATAATATCTAATGGGTATAGTATTGAACTTATCACTATTGGCATATGGATAATGGACTAAATATAAAATATAAAAATTTCGGTCTTTTAGATATCCAAAAATCCAAAGTACCAAAACCAATATCCAATCTGAAAATTCAAGAATTTTAATTATGCCCACCCCCACAAATGAAGCAAACCGTAATTCTTCAATTCTTTTTAGCTAATAAATTCTATTTTAGCGGGAAAAAACAAGAAATAAAATTAATATTTGAATAAAGTGCTCTTTTTTCACGATAGCGAAAACAACCACAATAATATACCTAACTAGGTTAAATTTTTATCATGTCGTTTAAATACAAGACAAGAAGAAAATAAAGACAAATCGGATAGATATTATTACAGAGGCCACGTCAAATGGAGAATTAGGTGAAATGAGGCTGTACCCTCCTGATTCAACCTACTTCACCTGACTACTTTTTTCTGGCCGAATTCATGATTTAAATTTTATTGATCCAGTTTGGAATTTTATCGCTGCTGCTGCCCATTTGATTTACTAGATTGGAGATTAAGTCCGTTTGGATCCAAGAATTTTTTCACTTTTTTAAAAAAAAATTATTTTTTTCGAAATCGATGTTTGGCCATAAAATTTCAATTTTCACTTGAAGATGAATTTTATAATTTTTCAAAAATTTAAAAAACTCCAAAAAAAAGTTTTTCAAAATTTACTCAGATCACTCATAAAGATTCAAAAACAACCCTAAATTATATTTATGTCCTAACACAACTCTATACCATTTTCACTTAAAAAAAATTTATTTTTTGTGAAATTTTACAATTCTTATTTCCAAACGCCACTAAATATTTGTGCTAATTAAGTGATTTTTTTATGCATAGACAAAATTTGAGCTGAAATTACAGAGTTTGAACAAACCCATATCTATCTACTAATCTGTGCCCCCCTCCTCCCTACACTTTCCTCAATTTGAGGCTTTTATCAGAAATTTTGTGGTCCAGAAGTTCAGTGAAAAAGTCTATTTTCGCCCCCAAAAAAGTTGTAATTAATCTCATGTCCGTATGTGAAATAACACAGGCTAAGGCTAATCGAAAAATAGCTAGCATTTACAAAGTCATGGAAAATAACCACTATTTTATGCGGTGAGAAAATCTGGACAAAAATACCTTTGTTAAAACACAAAAAGTTTGGAGTTTTGAACTCCTAGGTGTAAACTTCCAACATATAATTTTAGAACTAGAGTACATTATAAAATTCCAACTCATTATGTCAAAATTTCATATGTAAAATGTTCAAACTTCACCGTATTATACTAGATTTTTTTCTAAATTTCTAAGGATGTTATGTTCAAAATTTACAAATAGATAAAAAGTGACTAAATTTTAATTAATTTTTAAATTGCGACTATTTTTCAATTACTAATTATAAATCAAGCTATTTGATTTTTTTTCCCTTGTTGGTATGTGAAGATCCAAGTTCATTTTGGTTATTACGGTCTAATTTTCATTTTGATATACAAGGATCAAAAGTAGAACTCTTAGGTTGGTTGATTAGAAAGCCAAATTTACCATAGTGCATTAAAAAAGATATTTCAGTTGGGTCGATTTTACAATGAAACTAGTCCAACAAGACTATATATAACATAAAAAGAAGAATGTTCTCTGTCAAACTTCAACGTCTTTAATCAAATAAAAATATCCAACACTATCAAATTTCTTCAGAACCCCTTAATTAATAAGATCACAAAGTTCAGAAAGACCTTGGTTTCAACACAATGGTGGAATGCTTCAAAATGTGGAGACTGAACTGTCCACCTTTCTCTGTGGTGTCGAGCTTCGACTGGCCTGGAGGAGGCAACAGCTCAAAGTTCTGAACCAAACGTCCCAAAGTGATGCCAAGAATTGGCAATGCAAGTATAATTCCAGGGCAGCTCCTCCTACCAACGCCAAACGGAAGATATCTGAAGTCATTGCCATTGGCCTCAACATGCTTCTCCTCTTCAAAGAACCTCTCGGGTCTGAACTCTTCGGGTTTCTTCCAATGAGCCGGGTTGTTAGCTAACCACCAAGCGTTAACCAAGATTTTGCTCTCTGCTGGAATATCAAACCCGCCAAGCTTTGCGTCGTGAAGGTTCATGTGTGGGACTAATAGAGGAATTGCCATACGGAGACGAAGTGCCTCCTTGATCACAGCCTGAAGGTATGGAAGCTTGTGGGTGTCTGGTTCAGTCACTTGCACTCCTGGTCCAAGAACTGTGTCAATCTCGTCGCGCAGTTTCTTTTGGATGTGAGGGTGGTTGACTAGCTCGGCGATACCCCACTCAATTGACCATAATGTTGTTTCAATTGCTGCTCATAATATTAGGTAAGCATATTAGCTTAATCATCAAATTGCCAAGAAGCCTATGAAACAAGCATAAACTACAATATAAAGGTAGGATAAGAGACTCTTAAGTTTAAAGCACCAAAAGGGCGATGCAACGAAACTACATTGAGCCGAGAGTCTACCGGAAACAGTCTTTCTCCCTTTTTAAAGGTAGGGATAAGGTCTTGTATACACATTACCCTCCCCAGACTCAACTTGTGTGAATATACTGGGTTTGTTATTGTTGATGCTGTTAATGTGAGCAACTAGCTATTCTACTTGGATGTCACCATAATTGCTTATTTTGCACAAAACAAGGATAATATGGACCTTTTTCTACATTACTCCTTTATCATGATCATAATTAGCATGAGTTGGTATAAGCCATTACTTATGGAAAGTTAGGTGCTTTACTATGTGCACCTACATATACTGCTCTACCTAAACACCATGAAAAAATTGGTAGGTAGTACCATCAACAGGTCCATCGCATGTGCTATCAAACTATAAATCATTAGAAAGCCCATTTTGGTTATCAAAACAAACGTTCTTGAGACCCCATTTGGAAGTTCTCAAGTCCTACTTTTGAGAAGAAAAAAAACAGAGTATATTAGGACAGGGAAAAACATTCACTTATAAATTACACTTATTATGACTAGAGGATCGCTAAAGATCACGTGATATCCAATTAAAATTAAGTGCTGTTATTCGGAATGAACTCATAAGCATATAAACCAGGTACTCTTAAAAGTTATTTTCAACCTTTTAACTAGGAGATGCACATACTAGAAATGATACTAACCAAACTAGAAAATATTATATTCCGTGAATTTAAATTGGTTTTTTTGAAACATACCAGCAACATTGATGTTTTCAACAATGTAAAGAACGTTGTCCTCATTGATCTCTCCCTTCTGTTGAGCCTCAAGAATGTGATCAATCGCACATTTTAGGGCATTGCTGTCCGAGCTCTTGGTATTTGAAAGCTTCCTGAGCAAAGCAATAAAAATGTTACAAACTAAAACTCAAGATCCATTTCAATGAGTACTCAACCACAATCAAT